TCTGCGTGTCCATGTCTCTGTCTTCATCACTTACACATACCACTGTCACTCCATTGTTGTCCTCTACATTCCCCACCACCACTTAAGCTTTCCCTCTTTCTTCCCATCCATCATTCATCTGTGTTGCTCCAGGCCAGTCTGTCTTTCATCCCTCCATCTGACCCCTCCTCTCCACCATTTGTCTGAAAAAAGAGAGGAGGGGCAGAGTGGACAAGAGACGAGATGAGAGGAGTGGTCCAGCAGGGCTCATATTAAATTAGACAAGCAGTAATGAGATTAGAAACCATGCATGTGGGCATGCATGTGTTTGAAAGAGAAAGTCTAAGATGTGTGTGTGTTTACTTGCACAGCCAGAAATCTGATACAAGCATGGGGGTGTGTAGCATTTTGTGTACACATCTACATTCAGATGTTGCCTGCCGGTGTCTATTTCCTCTACACACACACACACACACACACACACACACGTCACCTTTAATTATAAAGCGTATCGCCGCTGAATTTTGAGCAGTAGGATATTTCTTGGCCACAAACCAACTTGTTCTGATTGTCTTTGAAGACTGACTGTGAGGGCAGCGGCTGTCGCTCCCTCTGCTGCCACCAACATGAATATTGCAATTATGAAGATTGGCAGGAGGACAAGAAGAAAGCACTAACACCCCACCACCACCACCACATTTGCATATCTGTGGTCAGGTTTTAAAATTGAATCGTTCACCCTTTTCCTTGAAGTCTACTTAATGCTAGGAGCCATTATCTGCAGGATGAATCAAAGTTAAAGCCACAACTTTTCACCTGGAGAGAACAAAAACCCATGTCCATAAATCTTATTCCATTGGTGTCCAACCAACAGTCCAAATCACAAAGATATTCAGCCTACTCCCACCTGTCTCCAATATCATCAGCCCATTAAATGGCCATTATCAGATGTTATCACTACTATTGCAATGCTTCAGTGCTGCAGTGCATATGCTGGTAGGCTAGGAGGTGCATATTCAAATCTGTGAAATGGTCACTGTGTCATTTGGTTTCTGTTTCATTAGGTGTAGGCACCAAAACTACTAATTAGGTTTAGGAAAAGATCATGGTTTGGGTGAAAATAAGAATGTTTTTTACATAACTTCAGTTATGTACATAAGTTAACTTAAGTTACGTAGGTGACATAAGTTCAGCGTGTTACGTACTTAAGTACATACATAGCTCAAAATAAATCAACACCGACTTTTGGTTAAAGACTTCTATTCTTCTGGGTCCTGTGATGACCTATCCATCAATCCTGACCTCCTCCCTGCGTGGGCTTTTTCGCTCTTTACCCTACTTCACCTGACTTCCTTCTTTGCCACTGTCATAATTACTATGGTCACTGGAGGCCGCCACCTAATGATAAACATAAATAACAGTATTGCCATACTACGTCAACCTCTGTAGAGCTTGGGTACAGCTGTGCCGGTGAAAAAACCTCGGGACGGAGTCACATCCCTGGGTTCCAGTGTTTTTAACATGTAACAGTGTGGACGCAGAGTTGTTGAACAACATTCTTAGCTCTCTCAGAGTTGGATGGTAGTTTTACTAAGTGTGTCCAGAGTTGGTAAATTTTTTGGTGGACAGGTTTAGCGTTAGCTTGGCTATCAGCAGCTAACGCTATCTCTGGATGGTGGAGTGTGAGGTGAGCCCCCATGTTAATCCTATTCGGCGGCAGTAGATCAGTCCATAGGGACTTGGGTTGGGAACCGGAGGGTCGCCTGTTCAAGTCCCCGTCCGGACCAAATATGGAGCGTGGACTGGTGGCTGGATAGGTGCCAATTCACCTCCTGGGCACTGCCAAAGTGCCCTTGAGCAAGGCACCAAACCCCCCAACCACTCGGGGCGCCTGACCAAGGCAGCCCCCTCACTCTGACATCTCTCCACTTTGTGCGTGTATAGGTCCTGTTTGTGCATGTGTGTGTCTTTCAGACCTGTGTGTTAATGACAACATAGTGAAAAAATTGAATTTCCCCTCAGGGGGATTAATAAAGTATATAAAATTAAAAAAATAAATAAAAAAACACTTCTGATTTCTTTATTTGTACGACTTCTCTTGCACGTCTGTTTGTCCTAGAAGAGGGATCCCTCCTCAGGGTTTTTTGGGGGGGAGTTTTTCCTTATAGTCAGGCTCACAATGTCCTGATTTCAACCTTTATTCAAAATCTTTGGGGAGTTTATAAACTATACATTTTTGGAAAGTTTAGAGTCTGACAAATCCTGAAACCGATGTTAACATTTTTTTCAAAGTCTTTGTGGCAGCCATCTTGGACTTTCAAAATGGTGATCACCCATAACCTGTTTTTAGCTGGATGCATGGTGATAAATCAAATTAGTTCTGAGTTTAATAGTTAACTGCATATTTTTCAAGCCAACGAAACAATTGGGACCATTTCCAGTACATTTAAAACCGAATCTGATGCTGCATCTGCCTATAATGTTTGTTGTATTAGGCAAATAATTGTAATTATTACACTTGACAACTAGCTATGTAGCGTAAGCAGTTAGCTTTAGAAAAACAGCCGCAAAGATTACCTGAGTAGCTAGTATTAACCACTGGTTGACATACCTAGCTAATGTTACACACAAAAAGTCGTTTAGCTGTCATCAGTTGAGAACTCGTTTCACAGCTGAGACATAGGTGTGGACAGACAGCTTCATTCAGCCAGGTGACTCTTTCTATTGATCTGACAGATCAAGCAGAGGATAGGGCATGTTCCAGGACACCTCTGTCAATGTCATCAATTAATTGAATGAGTCTGTGGTGGACTTCATTGTAAAACAACAGAAGCAAGTGTACCCAAAACTATAGTTAATCATTCCACAACCAGAAACCGTGGCTTAACAGAACCATCCAGAATGCCATAAACACACACACTGCAGCCAGTCTGTAAACATGGTGGTTATAAAGCAGCAACCTACAATGAAAGAAGAAATTACTAAATTTCAATGCACGGGCTAAAGGAGCTGAGGGGACCACATTTTAATGGAGTCATACCTTGTATGAAACATTTACTTTCTTATTTCTCATGTTCTAACGATTCCAAAAATGTATAGTTTATCAACTCCCCAAAAAGTTTGAACGAAAATACATAAGGAACTGGGCTATTAGCCGCTGTAAGCCCTCTGAGGCAAATTGTGATTTGTGATATTGGGCTTTATAGATAAAATTAAATTGAATTTCTCCAGGGCCCCCATCTTTGTTTTGATGAACCTCCTGCCAAAAGCCGCTGACTGAGACCTCTGCTGACCTCACCAAGAAAATAAACATTCAGCACCATCTAGAGGACTGAAAAAGCAATTGAATTTATTATTCTAGTACCAAAAGTTTTATTAAAATGTGTATTTGCAAAAATTAATAATGTAAATAGCTCTTCCAACCACTCTAAGCGCTTTTACACTACGAGTCACATTCACCCATTCACATTCATATACTGGTGGCCGAGGCTACCATACATGGTGCCACCTGCTACTCAGTTTTTACCACACTCACACACCGATGGAACAGCCATCTTGAGCGATATGGGCTTCAGTATCTTGCCAAAGGATACTTTGACATGTGGGCTGGAGGAGCCGTGGATCAAACCGCTGATCTTCCGATTAGTGGACAACTTGCTGTAGCTCTGGGCTGACATCACAGTTGTATATCATACAAGATCAAAACTTGGTGTCTGTGTATCACCACAATATCGCCACACAAAATATCGCAACACTGTCTGCTGTATCAATTTTTTCCCCCACCCCGAATGGACATACTGTATGTTGACAGTGCATAATTTTGGCAGTTAGGTAACAAAAATAAAAATACTAAAACATGCATTTTTGGGTTTCAATCAAACTCTGACTTTAAAAAAAGAGACAGTTTTTAAATAAAGTTTAGATATAAAAGAATAAAAACAGTAAAACTATTTTAAAGGGCCTGCACATCTGCCCAAGTGTTTCTATTTATTTATCTGATGAGACTTTACCATTTGAATGATGATGGTGATGATGATGATGGTGTGATGTGTCCCACCCAACAGGTGTAACAAAGCTAAGTGAAGAGTGAGAGAGATGTCAGTCAAACTGTAAACACCCTCATAGACCTGAGAAAAGGTCTAATCAGCCAAAATAAGGTCCCTGTGTGGGTGGACTAGAGAAATGCACGGCACCACAGTCAAAGACTTTGTGATATTTGTACACATGCTCAAAACATGGTTAGTATCAGCATTTTGTGTGTGATTGGGGCACTTTTTTCATAATGAAGTGTTATGGTAGTCCCTCCCTCTTCCCTGTAGTTCTTGCTACATCATTTGTCAGTCACTTTGATGAGCTGTGTACCTGGAAATAGCATCAGTCCCAGCATGAAGCCACTGCAGGCTTTAAGTTACAGAGAGCAACTGCTGCCAGTCTATGAATGTCTTGTCTGCTGTTGTTTTGTTTCTTGCTGCTTTTTACCATTGTATTTATAATGCCATAAAAGCTAAAGATTGTTGCTCTCAATTTGTTCTTCAGAGATGGTTTTGTTGCCACTGTCTTGCATAAACATTGATAGCAAGACTATCAGAAGACTGCAGCCATTCTAATAAAAAAGCCATTTCAACACTAAACTGAGTATTCTAACAGAGCCTTGAAAAACTTCTATGATATCTGATATTCTGCCTTTGATAAACTCTGCATTATAAGCTCAAAGTCAGAGGTTTCATGATCACCTGCAGTATTTCCTGACAAATCAAATTAGTGGACAAGATGGATTTAGAAGATGCAGTATAAAATGATAGTGTATAGTTTGATTTTGCTGCTCAGAAAGTTCTCAAATACACAAACTAAAAGGATTTTGCCTTTCTTCCAGTTGACACTGGTTATACATGTCAAATTACGCTGCAGACTACGCATTTTTTCTCTCTCCAACTTTTCTACCAACTTTCTACAGATGTGAGGATCACTGGGTGTCCTTTAGATTTTGCCATTAATGAATCCACTGTTGTGTTTTTGTTCAGGTAAACCAGGAGAATGTGGTGAAGGTGGGCCACAGACAGGTGGTCAACATGATCCGCCAGGGAGGGAACCGGCTCCTTATCAAGGTGGTGACAGTGAGCCGGAATCTGGACCCTGATGATACGGCACGCAAAAAAGGTACAACCTGTAGATTCTACCTCTCACAGTGCCAACCAAAGGAAACAGATAGAAAATCTGTCCGAAACTCTTGAAAATATTACTGCTGGTGATGTTCAATTATATATAGATTAGAAAATACAATAATAATGATGAGCTTCAGGTGTGGAGCAACAAGACACAACGTGAAGTAGAAGTGTGGGAAAAACTCTTTGCTGTATGGATCTGCTTACAGCTTTACCTCCCGTATTAAAATATCAAAGACTGCAGTAGAGCAGCATGCTGACTAATGATGTGTTATGTAATAATATTCCTCAGAGGCAGCGAGAAATCTGACTTACTCTATGTTCATAATGCAAACAAGAAAATAACAAAGAACCAGAAGTTCTTATCATTGCCTATAAAGCTGCTGGCTGTCTAAAGTCAGCTGTGGCTCACAGTGTTTGGAGTGATAAAGGCAGAATTAGATGGTCAGAACTAAACCATTTAACAATTCAGAACGTCATTCTGTCACTGCCCATCCACACTAACAATTGGAAGGAGCCTGTGGAACTTGGAATATACCTTGAATGGACCTGCACTTGTATAGCGCCTTTCTAGTCTTCCGACCACACATAGCATTTTTACACTACATGCAACATTCACACACTGGTGGCCCAAGCTACCATATAAGGTGCCACCTGCTACTCAGTGTTTTCTTTAGACATGGCACAGCCATTGGCAATTTGTAGTCCAGTATCTTGCCAAAGGATACTTGGACATGTGGAGTGGAGAAGCAGGGATCGAACTGGTCCTCTGATTATTGGACGACCCGCTCTACCTCCTGAGCCACAGCTGCAAAATGGCAGCCAGAAGTGACGTTAAATGCTAAAAGGTAGTATAACATAGGATAAAAACAGTATTGGGGCAGCAGTAGCTCAGTCCATAGGGACTTGGCTTGGGGTCCAGAGGGTTCCTGGTTCCATTCCCCATACGGACCGAGCATGGAGCATCGGCTGGTAGCCAGTGAAGCGCCAGCTTGCCCCCTGGGCACTGCCAGGGTGCCATCGAGCAAGACACAGAACCCCCATCTGCTTGGGGCATCCGCCCCAGGCAGCCCCCCCACCCCAACATCACTCCACTCAATGCATGCATAGGTCCTGTTTGTGCAAGTGTGTATATTTCAGGCCTGTATGTCTATGACAACAATTTGGCACAAAGGGCCCCTTGGACTTGACAATAAAGTTATTAGATTTTGGTGGTCCAAGGTCAAAAGTCACTATGACGTCGCATCCCCATCACGTAAAAGCAATATTGCAAGAACACCTTAAGGGAATGTTTTTCAAATTTGAATCGAACATCCACTTTGAATGAATGAACTGATTAGAATTTGTTTCTCAAAGGTCAAAGTTCAAGGTCACTGTGATCTCACAAAACATGTTTTTGGCAATAACTCGAGAATTCATACATTAAGTATGACAAAATTTTGCACAAATAGTCTGCATCATAATGTTCTGCAAAAGCACTTCTCTGGCCATTACGTTGTATCTCAGGAACAGAAGGGGAGAAATTTGGTCAGATAGGAATTGGTTGACACCAGTCTTTGGTGCCCACCTTAAAACTGCACTAATTGTATCAACTCAGTCGTCAAAAACCGGCACTTGGACAGTGACTTTCTGCGTCAGACACCAACGCAAAAAGCCATCCTTTCATGTTGGCATGATATTGTATTGGCATCAGGGGGAAAACGTGGCTGGACAACAATGAAAGGTAAGGCAGTGGAATTGCGAGTAGGGTGGTTGGGAGGGGTGGTGGATGGGTCCAACAACCACCAACTTTCACCCGGGAGGACTTTGCTTCCCGTAAGATTATAAAGCCAACCCCTGTTCTTTTTTCCTAAACCCAACCACATGTATGTATTGGCAAATCGTAACTATGTGCATTTATTGTTGAAGGAAAAGACACGGCAATACGCGGTGTTGTACTGACGTAGTTCTTTTAATTTGAAAGAGGCTGTCAAATGTCACAAAGTCTTCAAAAAAAGTTTTAACTTAAGTCTGTTATTTTATAATAAACAGTTCAACTGAACATTTTTTCCTGCCTATTTGTTTGGTTGACAGTTTACCTGATCACTGAGGAAATGCTTATTTTACATAAAGTAAAAAAAATAAAAGTAGCTTTGCAAGTAGCCAGCTACTTATGCCATTTTTCAAGTAGCTTTCCCAACACTACTCAAACACTAGATGCCACTAAGTCTTACACAAAGCAAACAAAAAGAAGATCCATGAAAAGATGTAATGTCACTTTCTGTTTGAATAAAACAAAATGACGTGTATTTTGGTCACATCAATGTGTCTCTCTGTCTCCCGTAGCTCCTCCACCACCAAAGAGAGCCCCCACCACAGCCCTGTCCATGCGCTCCAAGTCAATGACATCTGAACTGGAGGAACTCGGTAAGAGCCTCCTGGTGTGACTTTTACTCACAGTGTCATTAGGAAGTGTGTGTGTCTAAAAGCACCTCTCTCTTCTTTTGTGCCTCTTTCTTATTGTCATTGATTGGTTAATCTCTCAATAGTGGATAAAGGTAAGCAGTTAATGCTGCATAACCATTTGCCATCCATTTTGCTTAACTGCAACATCCATCTGCTCACAGTGGCTGAATGAAGCTTTTGTTCAGGGTAATGCAGTTTAAGTTTCCATCATGTGATCATTTTGCTTTGGTCTGCCTCTTAAAAAAGGACAGAAACTGCTTTTCCTCCCTCCTCATCTCCTGCTTCTCTGCATCACGCACGAAGGACTGTTGCTTCTAAAAACCCTCACACCCCATGAGCTGCTGCTGTGGCTTCAAGGAGAAAATAAGACAAAAATATTATAGATAGATATTCAGATAATAGTATCATTTTTGTTATTTCTGTTTTCATATCTGTGTTTGGTGAGTAGCACTTCATGTGTGTTGCGTTAAAAGTGCTGTGGCCTGTATAATACCTTCTGAAAGACAGGGCAGTCAGCGTTTCTGTCACACATGAGCAAAAGGACACACAGGAGGGCACATCAGTGTTGAACAGGCCTGAGAGGAAGGAAAGAGAGGGGGGAGAAAAGAAGCAAGGAAGGAGTGAGGAAGGACGTACGTGTGATAGAAAGGAGAAAATAGTGAACCAGGGTTTCCCCGGTGAAATTATAAAGCAAAGGGGTAAGCCACCCAGAGTCTGATGCGTTCAACATCTCTTGGTCAATTTAGTTTGTAGATGACAGCCTAAAGAAGTCACTTTCATAAAAGCCACCACTTGCAACACCACTTGTTCTTATTGTAGTAACAGTAACTTAATACAGCTCTGACATGTTGTAAAGAGAGTGAACAGTAAACAGAGAGGCTTTTATCAATGAGATAAAATTGCACTGGATTATACGATGTTAATCCCTCATGCTTACAGTAGGCAGGCAATATAAATCCAGCACTGACAAAGCAGACTCCAGCACTACCAACAAGAAAATACTTTATACTGGGTGAAAATACTGAATGTGTACAGCACTGGTTCTCAACCTGGGGGTCCCCACCCCCTTTAGGGGTCCCCAAAAGTGCATAGGAGGTCATGAGGCCTTCTTGATTTTAGTAAGTATGAGACAACTTTAAAAAAAAACTTTACAGTAGGCCTAAGTTTTGTGAAGGAAACTAAATGTAAATGATTTGGGCTTTTTTTTTTGTAAAGTTTAGGTTATTATTCAAAATATAAACATCAAAAAAAAAGTCTCACAGGATAAGTGCGCAGTGAAGACCTGAACAAAAGCAAACAACCATGGCTGACAGATGATTGCCAAGCGTAAGGGAAAAGAAAACTGTCAAAAAAGCTGATTAAGTATGTATGATTGCTGAAAATTAAAAATACATAATGAAAGGAGAGGAATCTTAAATATTAACTTGTTGTTAAGATTATCACAAAAACCCATCTCTGATGCAATATTCACAGGATTAATCTGCTCAAAATTCATCCAACTTCCTTACTTATTGTGTTCACTATTTAGGTTGATTGTAAAGTTTATCAGTTGTTTTAAACTGTTATTGTTATGCAGTGAAAGTAATATATAATATCAGTAAAATGTGTGACTTAGTCAGGGGTTGTCAGTTTACTCAATGATAGAGAAAGGGTCCATTAAAGATTTGGAACCATTGGTATGTTGTATATGAAATGGCTATTGCAACAAAAAATGGTGACCATAAATGTAATCAACATAGGGTTTAATTTCACTCTGAAAGATTATGACATGTCTTTTATAAAACACTGTCAGAAACTCTGTAGATTCACAAAAGGATTGCACAGCTTTTGCAGCCAATAAACTTGCACAAAAAAAGACAAAAAGAAACCTTGCAGTTCTCAAAGCACCTGCAAAGGGTAAAATGCACCCTATGTATTCTATTTGCACGTATTTAAATGAGATAACATGCATATATTTGGCTCAAAATTAGCCCCTTTCTATGAAAAATGAGCCTCATTGCAACTCACAAAGATCAGCGCTAATAGCCACACGCAGTTACAGTCGAAAAATTATGTGCTCTCTGAATGTCTTCAGAGAGCTGGTGGTAACTGAAGTGCATTTATAAGGTTTTTCACACCCAGACTTTCCAGATTTCCTGAAGGTGGAAGGAAAGCCTCTGCAACTCATTGGTCAGAGCCTGTAGCTCACCATGTGAAAATGTCAGTTTTCTTTTTCTGTCTGCCATCGATCTGCCTACTTTGCTCTTGACACAAAGGCATCATTTTTACTTTGCCAGATGAAGAAAAGCACTCAGGTCAAAAAAAGGCAAATTGCACCCAGCTGCAAAACTTTATGGGTGTGTTTGCGCTGTAATAACATTGACATAACATCGGTTACTAGTGATTCCTGAATTCTCCTTTCTGTGTATTGCTGAAACAATTAGTGGATATATTGATTTGTCAGTTCCCCAAAAAGTTTGATAATAGATTAAGCATTCATTAAGCAAAAAAAAACAACCAAAAAAACAAAACTAGTTCAAACGTTGCAAATGTGATGATTTGCTTTTTTCTGTTTTGGTTTGTTTCATTGTAATTTGAATACATTTGAGTTTTGGATTGCTGTCGGGGAAAAAAAGCAATTTAAAAATTTCACCTTGAGATGTGGGAACTTTTATTCATTTTCACTCAATACATTTAAATGCACAGTTAAGTCGAGCTGCAGTTATAGTTCAACTAGGTCATTTAATTGGATGACTGTCCTTGTCCAAGTATACAAGCATGGAAAGGGAATCAATTTATTGACCGAACTTTATCTGTATTAGTATTAGTATTGGACCTTTTTCCAGTTGACCTATTACGTCACAGACCAAATAATCCACAAACAAGTGAGCTACGGTTAGCTAGTGGCATGTATTTTGTATGTATTTTAAAATATCTATCTATCGACTTCCAGGTCAAAGCCTGGGGTGGAGCGCAGAGCGCCTAGACCAGTTTGGGTCTAATTGACTGTATACATGAAGGAGTAATTTGACTCTCAATCGCATTATCTGGGTGTGTTAGTCCAACATTGACAGGTTCAATTTAGTACAATTTCAGTCAGACTTTTCATGTATTTTAAAAGTCCGGTTTTAGCAGGACTGACACAATAAATTGATTTTCTCTATACTTTGTCATTATACATCTTGAAGGATTAATAAAATAATGAAGAAAAGGGGGATTAACCAGTTGTGAAAACATTAGTTGCATTTAGATCAGTTCATTGTTTGAAATTGCAGTTCGTGATTTACCGTACACACACACATATGGATTGATCGTGATTGATTATCGATTGTTAATTTCAGCTTTGTGTGTCATAGGTGTACAAAGAGCAGGCAGAGAGATGACAGGTGAATGAATGAATAAATGACAGCAGAGGGAATCTGCTTATATTGCAGGAAATTGCTGACAGAAAAAACCTCTGGTCAGCGTGTTTCTTCTGGAACTGCTTAATTCAAACATTTGCATTTCATTCTTTACTTTATGCATTTGGGTAGTAAAAGTTTGGCTTGGTAGCATTGTTAAGTCTAAGTGCATCACTGTTTTTATATCTGAATGTAAATTATGGGATGCACAGAACATGTGCATCTGCTGCACTAAGACAAAATAGAACAATACACTGAATATTTTTGCAAATATTAAAGGGACAGTTCACCCCAAATTCAAAAAACATATATTTCTCCTTTTACCTGTACTTCATGCATTTCCTTTCTAGCAAACTACACCCACCCCGTATTGTATTACTGCCCAGAAGAAAGCTTACATCTACAAATGGAGGAGAGGCTCATGGATGTGACAGCCTGAGATGTAAACATTAATGGTGTCCTCCTTGGCTGAGCAGTAACATTAGCGAGTTCAGTGGTGCTAGGTGATCTAGCAGTAGATGCATGCTTCCTTCTGCCCAGTGATACGATTAGTGGGTGTAGTTTGGTAGAAAGGAAAGTGAAATTGCTGTTGAGTTTTTCAGATGTTCTTTTTTCTTTGTATTGGTGCTTTAAGCACCATAAGCCGAGTGCCATCTAGTTCCGTCATATTGGAGAGAAGGCAGACATCTCTACTGCTGATAATATAGTGCCAAATAGCACTACAGGTAAGTGGAAAAATATGTATTTTTAATTTTGAGGTGAACTGTCCCTTTAGACAAAGCTTCAATACAAGTACTTTTTTTCATCTTGTGAGAAGGATTGAGCCTGCTTTTGTGATTTAAAGACTCCAAAATATTTTTCTGTCACCCCCTAAGCCACTCTAAGGAAAAAGAAAGGTGGTAAGTCACTGTAGGCATTTTTAAGTCTGATCCAGTATTTCCAATGATTGATTTATGTCACTACCTTCCTCACTCACATCACTGTGATTAACTAACACTGTTCTATTTGTTGACAATTTATTTTGATTTTTCTATAAGAATTTGTCTAACAGTCAAACCAAATGGTTTTACCCCTGTGGTGCATTTGCATGATTTACCAGCATGTTCTCATCCCAAGTTGTCACATATGGCCGCTTTGTCAGTGGCCTTTCACGTCTACATGTTAAGCGTTAGGTGTCCTCCTGCTTCTACTGTTGACATTCCGAGATGCCGCAACCAACACCAGGATGTCAATAAAAGCACAAGGTTTGGTTTCGTCAAGAAAGGCTGGTTAGATTTAGAAAAAACATCATTGTTTGGCTCCATATTCATACAGGAAGCAAACACCAACCTCCTGGGTGAAAGTCCAGTGTTTGTTGGACTCATCCACCACCCCTCACACCCGTCCTGTAGGGACTATACAGCACCTTATATTATGATGTTACCTGCAGTATTTCAACCTGACGCTGTCCAGCGCCATACAGTATCATACTGCCATCTGGCGATCGGTGGTGTATCATAACATCGTAAAAAGTTCAATCCAGCTGCGTTACAAACTGACACTGCCCGGTGGCCACTGCAAAATGTGGCTTTTGGTGTCTGACGCTGAAATCACTGACAAAGCAGTGGTAGTTGACAACTTCAGAATGAGAAGAGGCTGGATTAACAGTTTGTTTTTGACTCCAGCTTTTCTGAACTTCATTGTGTTCTACATGTTGCTGGTGCATGTTTTAATGTTGTATTGATGTTGACTCGGTTTAGATATTGCACTGCACAGGTGCTGAGTCATGACCATTATTCACTTTTGATTACAAAGAAGTAGTTCACCTCGGAGTGCTTCCTAAACATGAACAGCAGAAAGCCCACATTATCACATTTCTGGGAGAATTTCAAGCTTCAAATGCAATGAAAGAGAAACAGCCCCCGAATGAGGGATTGCGGAACAATTTACTTGTGTGTGTAAGTGTGTGATTGTGCATATGCTAGCATACAAACCCTATTGTTGTAATCAGTTTGTTAATCTGACATGATCTAAAGCTTTGTTTCTTTTATTTATGTGTGCCTTATTTTTTTCCTCCTGTGTCATTGCAGGCTTGTGTGTGTCTCTATGTGTGTGTTTGTGCATATGCGATTGTGTGAGGAGGGGGAGGTTTATTCCAGGAAATGTTTCACTCACAGATAGGTTTCCAGGGCAACCGTGTTGCATGTTGCCTGATATGCTGTAGCAGCAATCCAACTGGGAGAGCAGGGAAATGTGCATTTTCTCCTGTTGTGTGTGTATTTTGTGTTTTAGCTGTTAACTGTAGTTAAGGTCATTGACACTCCTTTCCTCCCTTCCTCACCTCTCTCCTCCCCACTCCTCTCCTCTGTGTGTAGATGCGCAGAAGAAGAGGATTGTTTTCCAAGTCACTCTAAGTAATCACTCCCCCTAATGCATGGAAGCTTTTTACATCTGAGACAGAGCTAGCCAGGGAGGTCACGCAGTACGATGCTAGATCAGGGCTAGCATGTAGCTTCTCTGAGCAAAACCTTTTAGGTGGACACTATCTGATGGCATCATCACACACCAGAGGGAAGTTCACTTCTGCCAATTTTGCCGTTGACATCTTTCCCACGTTGCAGACTCCAAAAAGAAACAAGTATGAGAAAGACAACGGCAAACTTGACAGACCTCACATTCATTGTTCATTTTACATTTACTGAGGGAACGACCCTGAGAGTTGGATGATGCTGCGGAGTCGGCTGTTTTGGAAAGAGCTTGCACGGCTTGCAAGGCTGGACACACCCGACACATTTCATTAAAGTCCTCCTGCCCCCCAAAAATTTGTTTCAGTGTTGTTGTTTTTTTGTTTGTCTGTTTCATCTGCAATTCAGTGTGGAAACACAAGGAAGGGTCACTGTGAATGATTAGCTTGCGTTTGGCCCCATGAGAAACTTACTGAGGCTTTGCAAGTTCTGTCCTGCACCCATCAGTTTTTGTTGCTCAGGAATTCTGACTCATTTTATTTTCCAGACAAAGTTGAAGAGATGACGCATGCCCAGAAGACCTCACCTGTTGATATGAAGATTGCCACAATCAAACCACGCCCATCCAGTCGCTGTTTGGTGACAGCAGCTGATATGAACGTAGGTGACAAAGACTGAAATGACTTGACATTGAAAATCTATGCAAAGGTGGAACATACATAAATAACTGTTAAATTATTACATTTTTAAGAGTGAGATTAATAATTACACAGATTATACAGTATATTATGGCATTGTTTTGTGATTCTGAAAGTGTTGTAGTCTTCTTTTGGTTTTGAATCTATTAAATGTGTTTAGATGAGTGTGTTTTTGGCTGTTTTTTGTGCGGCCCCCGCAGATGACATCCCTAATGGAAAAATACAATTCTTTGAAATGTAATTTGTTTTCTATAGCAGCAGAGAGTCATCTCAATATTACAGCAATCCATGTGTTAATGTGTACACCTTCCACAAATACAAAAAAAAAAGATTTAGAAACTCAAAAAACTATTTTGCAAAACATAAAACAGATCTGCAAATATACAAACGAATTTCATTCATTCATTCATTCATTCATCTTCTAACCGCTTCATCCTCTTGAGGGTAGCGGGGGGGCTGGAGCCTATCCCAGCTGACATTGGGCGAGAGGCAGGGTACACCCTGGACAGGTCGCCAGACTATCGCAGGGCTGACACATAGAGACAAACAACCATTCACGTTCACATTGACACCTACGAACAATTTAGAGTTATCAATTAACCTAGTCCCCAATCTGCATGTCTTTCGACTGTGGGAGGAAGCCCACGCTGACACGGGGAAAACATGCAAACTCCGCACAGAAGGGCTCCCACACCCAGGATCGAACCGGCAACCCTCTTGCTGTGAGGCGACAGTGCTAACCACCGCACCACCGTGCCGCCCCTGCAAATGAATTTCACAACTTAAAAAAAGTATTAAAGTAATAAATTTACAAATAAAGGTATTTGTGAATACCTTCCTAACATTAACAACTTTTGAACAGATATTTGTGAATCCAGGTTTTATTTGTTGATCTCATTTCTGCATTTGTTCATTTTTTGGGAATTTGTTTGTGTATTTGCAGGTATGTTTTATATTTACAAAATATTTTTTGTGAGTTTACAAATCTTTTATTGTATTTATGGAAACTGTTTTATATTTACAAATGTACACCCAGATTGTCCATCACCTAGCACAAATTACATGAAGATAAATGGACTTATTATTTGGATTTTATGAACCATATTTGTGTATTTGCAGATCTGCTTTGTGTTTGAAAAATGTTCTTTCAGTTTTCAAATCCATTTTGTACTTGTGGAAGTTGTTTTAGATTTTACGGATTACACATTTTACACACAGATTCTCCTCACACAAACAATACTGACACAAACTGATCTCCATATCTGTGTATTTGCAGGTCCATTTAATATTTGCAGAATAGTTATGTAAGTTTACAAATCTTACTTTTTGAGAGGTGTTTTCTATAAACAGATTACACATTAACACACAGATCATTGATCTGTTCTTATAAATATTATTGAGACAAAACTATCTCCACAGTTTTACAGCAGATTGTTTACAGCGTATTGTGTTCCATAGATAACTCAATCTAAATTCTGTGAGTGTTGCTCTCCACAGCTTGCAGAAAGGTAATCAAGAGAGTATTTCTGGGAATATCATTAACAACATTCTGGTTTGCAGTCCATGTATCATGACCGCCAGGGAGTGGCAGTGGTGCCGCCCACTGTGCCGGGGGCCTTCCTGGGAATACCTGAGAAGGGCACTATGAAAAAGCAAAAGTCCATAGGTATGATGTGTGTGCCATAAGTGTGTGTGTGTGTGGGGGGGGACAGACGGACGGACGTGTGAGTGTCAGTCCGTCTTTTTGTGAACTGCATGTCCACTACCTTGTGGTTTTGGCTTGTCGTAATATTCTGTTAATGCTCCATGGACTCTGCTCTGTGTGCTCAAGTAATATTAAAACTAATTATAGATAAATTAGAATGATCCAGTCAGCAAAGTGTGCTTTCAGGCAATAATATTGGATGTCATTAAGCATATGCTGAAACCTCACTCTCACTGCTGTACTAGAGGGACGTCATGCGGGCTAATGATACTCACAGCGCTTTTACTTGGCAATGTCATCATTATTATAACAAAAATTTAAAGGCTTTTTTGGATAATCACAATGAAAGCATTTTAGCACATTCTAGTTTGTTGACACTGGTGTGTGAACTAAATAGTGTCACTTAATGACTAAGTGATGACAAAATAAAACAGTAGGCCTTTGGCCTTTGTGAAAATGATCAAACTGGGTTTATATTAAGCCAAACAGTGGACCGGACTGGTATACACAATTTTGTTTGTCATGTTCAAAAGCAAATGGGCGTCTGACTATCATGTAGCATCACATAACACCAGAGCTCTCTGTCCACACTGAATCCATTAAATATGCACTAATGTTAAGTCATGTAAAAAAAAACATAAATATCAGCTGTGCACTCGAGATCATATTGTAGACATAACAGGTGAGTAGCCTACTTGCTATCTTCTTATTTTAAAACAAAAATACACGTTTTATATTGTGATATTTACTGTAAATGACAAACAATAAAGGCAACAGCAAGTAGCCTAGCCTATTTAGTGTCAGGACAATGTCTCATGCCAACGTCAGTTTAATGTAAAATATTGATGATACATTTTGTTGATATTTAGTTTGTTTTCAGATATTAAGTAACCAAAATCCAATGTCTTCCAAACATTTCAAACAAACGTCATTTTAATGCAGAATAATGACATTCAGTCATGAGGTATCACAAAACCCAACGTCTGCAAAATGTCATAATTTTAACATCCACACAGTATGAAATTCTAACGTCATTAGATATTTAAAATATTGTCAAACTGATTTCCATTCCAACCAGAAATTTAAGTCTGTTTGACCTAAAAGTCCAATGTCTTTCCAATGTCCTTATTTTTACTTCATGTATCAGCTGTTCCTCGCCCATTGCGGTGCTTTCATGGTGAATGAAAGATATATGAAAGTTCAAAACGGCACCTGCAGCCAGTTAGGAAACTTCATTTGTTGGCTTCAAATCCAAAATGTTGTCATATGGGCCCAGTTTTAGTTTTCTTAAGATTCTCACTCTGTCCTGTCTTGTCTCGTCTTCCCACAAAAAAACGTATGAACTCTTGCCACTGAAATTTGATCTCCTTCATGTTGCCAACACCAGCCTGGGCCTGGCAGTAAATTGCACAGGCCTTTAGACACTAGTGGCTTTGTTAGTCCGTTTATAAATGTAATATGATGCTAATCATTTTGTCATATTGCTTATGACTAATGCAATATGAGTTGGATTTAGCGCTGTGACCCCATCAGCACACGTTGCTGAGGTAGCCTGCTTTTTAATGTGCCAGAACACGTCATAGTAACAAATACCTTTTCAGCCAGTTTGCATAAAATCACACCAGTTTAAGCTTGTAAAGCAGACCTAACTGACAAAACTGGAAACTGACCCAACACTATAATATTGCTGTAACTTTGTGCAAGCCATTTTGGTCATTTTCAAGGTAACTGGTGAATAGTCAAATTAGCTCAATATTAAATTTCCACTTGCTGCAGCAAACATCTTATAGCTGGCTACTCCTCTTATCTATCTGGCCTCTCAAAGATAACGGGAACCCCCCTCTTGGATAAAATAAAGGTTAAGAAAGAGCTCACATCAATAAATGAGACATTTGCTGTGTAAAGAGGAGGCCATGCTGGAAATAAAAAATAGGGATGTCTCCTCTAGGTCCTCACATAGTTTTTCTTTCTCCTCCATTTCTCCAAGGTACAACAGAGGATGAAAAACAGGGATTCCTCACACCTCCACTACTCAAGTTCTCCCGCAGCCTCTCTATGCCCGACACCTCAGAGGACATCCCTCCACCCCCAGCCATTTCACCTCCTTCACCACCTGACTACAACTCAGCTGCTGGCCCTACACCCAAGAGCTATGGCACCACACGACCCAGCTTCACCCAGAACTCACCCAATGCGGTGAAGACCATTAGCCGAACCACTGACGTTGGTACGTTAAGGCGTGGCTATTTCCGCCAGAGCTCAGAGCAGTTTGAGAGCACACGCACTCGAGGGCGCACACCAGTGCCAGAGAACCCTTACTCCGAGGTGGGCAATAAGACACTGTATGTGCCAGCCAAACCAGCTCGAAGAAAGGGCATGCTAGTAAAGCAGTCCAACGTTGAGGACAGTCCAGAGAAAACGTGTCACATGCCAGCAAGCCCCTCTGGCGCAGTTTCCATGCCTACTACGCCTGTAGAACGGACATGCTCCTCCATCCCAATCCCCACAATCATCGTTAAGGAGCCCTCCACCAGCAGCAGTGGCAAGAGCAGCCAGGGTAGCAGTATGGAGATTGAGCCCACCACCCCTGAACACCCACCTCTCACACCCACTGTTTGTGGGAGCGGAGGGTTGCGTCCTGAAGACCCTATGTCTCTAAGCAACCCCTTTGCAGCAGCCATTGCTGGGGCAGTGCGGGACCGGGAAAAGAGGCTAGAGGCAAAAAAGCACTCCATTGCCTTCCAGTCAATAGACATGGGGGATGATGACTTTAGCAGTCCCACGCCAACCCCTCGCCTTCGCCAGTCAAAGTCCATCGATGAAGGCATGTTCAGTAGCGATGAGCGGCTTCGAAGGATATTGGGTCCTCCTGCAGCACAGCTTGGGCCCCCTGTTGGGGGCGGTAGTGGCAATATGACAGATTTCAACACCCCTGAGCCCACGGTGGTGCGGGAACCTCTAAACACCAGGACGGGCCAGTGTCCCAACCTGGACAGTCCTGTTAGTCTCCCATCCACCCCTCCTAAGAGCCACTATAGGGCTAATGGGACCTACCTCCATCCTGTCACCGGCAAGCCCTTGGATCCTAATTCTCCACTTGCCCTGGCCCTGGCAGCTCGTGACCGAGCCATGAAGGAGCAACAAAACCATCCTCAGAATCAGCCACCAAATCCTCCTCAGGTTCAGCAAGCACCCAAGCATGAAGCCCAGTCCCTTCCAATTCAGCCAAGCCACAAACCAGACCTCAACCAACCGCTGTTCATTGACACTAAACTGCGCTCTGGGATTGAGACAAGTTTTGCTACAATCTCCACAGCAACCATGGGGCGGCCTGGCCGAGGTGGCCTGCGGAGGCAGATGACGGAGCAGAAGTATGAGACTGATGGGGCACGGGAAGAACGACAGCATCAGGCAGTTGAGGAGAGGAAAAGCGCGCCGGCAGATGTGGCAGACGCATCACAGCCCAAGTCAGCCGGGCTGTTGATGGTCCACACCAGCAACGAAGCAAGTAACAAGGTCAACAACCAAGAGGTCGAGGGGCAGGACAGCAACAGGCCATCTGAGCTTAAGGACCCCAACCAACCTGACCCTCTCAATGCTACAACTCTGTCCGTCAATCCCCAGCCACCTTCATCACGGAGGAGGAGTATTCCCTTAGGGGAGTCTCTGGATGAACCCGTAAAGCTGCCCTTCCGCATCCCCCCTCCCCCCCTGGCCTCAGTTGACATTGATGAGGATTTTGACTTCTCAGAGCCCCTCCCCCCACCGCTGGAATTTGCCAACAGTATTGACATTCCTGATGATCAGGCTAGTGCCATTGCAGAGATGCTTCAGCAACAGAGACGGAATGGGGGACCACCTCTACCCCCCTACCATGCTCATGCCCCACCACCTGTCACTGATCAACACAAACGGGTGGCAAACAGCATGCCCCCCTCATATCCTCCTCCTCCACCTGACTCAGAGTCAGGGGTGGGTGACTCGGGCATCGAAGAGGTAGACAGCCGCAGTAGCGGGGATCCTCAGCACATGGAGACCACCAGCACCGTTTCCAGCATCTCCACCCTGTCATCAGAGGGAGGCTTCTGTGACAGCGCTCTGGAGAGCCTTTATGCCACCGCAGACGGGCACGCCTTTCTGGTGGATCGCCCCCCTGTGCCACCCAAACCCAAGGGCAAGTCTGTCATCAACAGAACATCGCTTTATCATGACGCTCTCATTGAAGAGCCCCCAGAGTCCTATGGGTCACCACCTCAGGCCCCTCCCCCTCCCCCTTCATCCTCTGAGCCTCCTAGGACTCCTACTCAAAGGACATCCAAGCTGTGGGGTGATCAGCCCCCTGAGCTGCGCAGCCCCCCATCCACACCAGACTCCAAGAACACCGTTATCACCGAGCTGAGCTCCATTCTGCAGCAAATGAATCGCGACAGGCCAGCCAAGCCAGGAGAGAGCCTTGACTCCCCCACGGGGAACAGGGGGGGCTTTGGAACAAGGTATGTAATTAGACAGCCCTTAATCACTTTCCAAATTCTGATGTGTTTAGTGCTCCATGTTTTCGTGACCTACACTGTTTACATCAGTCCCAGACCTTTCCTCACCTTTGATTTTATTTTATTATTTCTTACAGTGGTTTGTGCGTGTATAAGAAATTCATATATTCTAAGGGTTGTGAAAACCCAAACCCTTGTAGTGTTCAGTGATATCATGGCAATATGCTGATCGCAGTATTTGCATGTAGCATTGAATGCTGCGTCATTGAACTATTGTGTTAAAGGAGCTATATGTAAGAAATCTAAAGCAAATAGTTGTAAAATCCTCCTAATATGTCACAGAGACTAAGGAATAATGTTCATATAACATACCGATCTCACCGACAACAATAGTACAGCCAGAATATTTGTATCTAAAAATTTTTTTTTGCAGTCTGCAAATCATGTTTATGTTTTGAATTTGTGTTTTGGCCTGTTGCTCCACCCACCGCTGTCTAGCAGTCACGCAGCCAGTAGAGTCTCAGCATCAGTTACAGTTATGACTGAGCTACAGCAGCACGGCAAGCAGCATTAGCAGTGTCCCAGTACATAGCATTAGCAGCCGGCTTCTCCTCAGCTGTATCCCGGCAGCAGCGTTAGCAGCAGAGAAGCCGGACTGGCTCGAACGGTCCGCTGGAAAACCGAAGATCAAGGACGCGGCACTGCCACGGCAGCCGCCCGTGGGCAAACAGATCAGTCTCCAGCATGCCGCTGTCCAGCAACCTCGAATCGGTAGGAGAGGGGGGGCGGACACTACTCGCGGCAGTATTTTGAATTTGAGTGCAGTAACCGTTTTGGCCACATTCTTACATACAGTGCCTTTAAGGAGGACTTGACAAGTCATTGACACTGACTGCTATTGACTATATTTTTAATCATGTGCACAATGGACCACAGTGGAGATTTGTCTTTTTTTTGCATTTATTTGAGAGAGTTGTAGGAGTTTCGTACAAATTTTAGAAATGTCAGGGGTGTTATTACAGGTTCATTTCACCCTAAATACAACTCAGCATTTTCTCCTTGACATATCTAGCCATGCACATAGTTTGAGTTTTATTTCCTCATGGTTTGTGATATCTTTTGCGAAGGAACTGTCTGTGGATCCGTTGCATGCTCATCATTGATGGGTTTGGTTTTGTGTTGGCAGGATATTCAATTGTGTCTGGTTGATTATAGCTTTTGTACATTTAGCGAGCAACAAAAAGTTGGTGGTTAAGATCATTACAATGCACCCTGAGTTGTGTGTGAAGTACAGTATATATGAGATTACGGTGTGTGTGTGTGTTTGTATGTCATGTTTATAGAAGCAACCCAAGGTTCCTTAGAACCTTTATATTGTAGTTGCTAGTAGTCCATAGATATGCATCTTTTAGCAGCCACTAACTTCAGTCATCTATGTTGATCATTTCTGGTCACAATATTTGGCAGTACAGAATAGTGTTGATTAGGGCTGTCACAAATTCGATTCTAAGGCTGCCTTCACACCAAATCAGGCATTGCGGCAATTAGCCACAGTGTTGTGCTGTGGTGTGGGAGACACTTACACGGCCCTTGAAGGAGTCGAGGATGGAGGAACTATAGAAAGCCAATCTCCCAATCTCAGAGATTGAGTATTTGTCTTTGGTAAGTCTGTTTATGTTGGCTTAAAGGAATTGCATAATTCCTTTTGATTATCATTGCTGAGGTATCTTTACTGTCACAAAAGACACATGTACATGCACACACAAACAAAGTGAGTGCTCTCCTATGTAAGATACTGCACACAAGCTGTGAATACATACTTACTAATATTTAACAATAGGGAGAGAATGTATTACTTGTTTCTGTGGACTGCGGGTGTCTTCTGGTCTGATAGCTGGTTACATGATGATTCTGTTCAACTTTTTGCTGCAGGCCGCAACAGGGTGTTTTTTTGGCATGCCCAGCGGCCCCACTGTGGAAGCCTAGATGCACACACCTTCAAATGAATGGGAGGACTTCAATGCATCCTTTATGATGACTTCATTACAGTCAGTAGATGACAGTAGAGAGCAGAGTCAAACGTTTCACACAACAGCAAACAAGGTGATAATGAGGAAGGTCAGTAATATTGTACCTTTAAACAGAGGCAACGTCATAGATGGCAGTGGCCTTTGTGGCCGTTATATACATGCCAGTGTGTGGACGAGGAACTCCTTTCACTATTTTCACTATGTATTATCGATTCATTACGTTCCACCATTATCTGAATTTCTGCATTGTCTCCCAAGGTCATATTTTGCTTGTACTATGCCACACTGCCTCCACAATCTCCAGTGGTACTGCTCTGTCTTGTCCATATCTGTAAGCTGTCAGAAAATGTGGACAAATTGGGATGAAATGAACACAGAGTATGGACAGAAGGCTCTATCCGTCTCTGTTTCTGTATCTAATGTTGAGCTGCCCTTTGTGTTGAAACAAACATTTGTTGTGGTAGAAGTGTAAGTTTGGAGGTCTTTGTTCATGATCCATGAATCCATGAATGTATAGAGATAATGCCTCGCTGCAGTGGTCGTGAGTTCGACTCCGGCTTGTAACCCTTTGCTGCATGTTGTTCCCCCACTCTCTCTCTCTCCCCACTTCACACTCTTCACTCTGTCCTTTCCATTAAAGGCAAAAAGGCCAAAAAATAATCTTAAAAAAAATGAGTTACTCTGCGGTGTTGAATCATATGTTTATAATGTAGCACGTGTGTGGACATCATTCATAAAATTCACCCTCTTGTTTTTAATGTTTGACAATTATTTGCACTTTTTTCTATCATATCTCTAAAATTAAAGTTCACTTAGAAGGAAGCACAAAGGACAGTCACTACAGGCAGTACATGTGAACGTGAAGGCTGTTTACTTGATAAGTCAGAATAAGGGATGGTACATTTGATATAACAAGACTAACTTCCTGCATAGCCATGTTTAAGATTGTTCAGGACATGCAGGAGTCAAATTTGCAGTAACTGGGACAAGGTTTTGATGGACCCTGTACCTGAACCAGCTCAGCTCATGCTTTTTTAAACTCACATCTTCCCTGTATGAGAGGGAAATAAAAAGCACAATAAATAATTCACTGCTCACATGCATTTTGTATGAATGGTCCCATCGCTCATCAGAGAGGTATAGAGAGCAGAGGGAAAGACTTGATGCCTCTGTGCCTTCTGATCTAAAAAACACAGTTCAATCAACACTATGACTTCCATTTGTGGTAATTACAGTGAGATGCCAGCAGCTGCTTAGGTCCAGCCCTGTGTACCCACCTTCACACTTCATGCCACATACTATCATGTTATCCTCATTTTCATCCTCTGCAGTTCAGAGTCATGTCTGTTGACCTTTACATCTTGTACTCATTTCATTTTCAGCACACGCGTCTCCATCTTCATCTCCATTTTCTCCAGTCTCCTGTAGTTCCTTCACCTCCTATTTCTTCATGCTTCCTGTGTCTCCCATCTTCACAGGTAGGTTCTATCAGCTGCTATCATGTCTCACCAAAGTCCTATTTCCACTTCTGTGTTCATTTATCCATTGCTGACATGCTGCATAGTGTTGGTGTCTGCCTGTCTGCGTATTGGCATGTTCCTGTGAACATAATCACTTAAGAAAAGTAGAATTTACATACTTCAACTATATATTGCTCCTAACAAGTAGATAATATGATTAGAATTTGGTGCACTTTACTGCATAAAGTTAAATACCAAGGAAAAATGGGAATGACCATAGCTCATTTCAGTATTTGAGATAATACTAGATATGATACTGAAATCATTTAATGCCATTATTATGGCATTACAGGACTCACACACACGTCATGCTCCAGTGAGTTCATCACGGTGGAAAAAAACCTCATTGCATATTAGATATATTTCATTTTGAACAGACAGAAGTAGGGATGTCAATGGTTGACCATTAGTCTCTTAACCCCCGAGAATATTTTGGTCACACATGTCGTTCTGTTGGTTAATTTTGCTACTGTTCAGTTTACTGCACTGCACATCAGTGGGGTCTGGTGGGAGCTAGCTATTGTTAGCGGTGCAACTCATTCAACCACTGCTGCTAGTTATGCATTCCTGACCCAACAGCATTGCTGTGGAAACATTGCGCCCACCTTCAGGTCACCCCCCAGCTCGCCCCAGTGAGTAAGCGGATGATTTTTAAACTGTAAAACCCCCTTTAGCGTTGTTAACTATATGACCACCATTAGCCGTGTCAGCACAGCTAGTGGTGCTAACACAGTAAACAGTGCTAAAAGAATTTTGCGGTTCAGAATGGAGCCGCTTACTAAGCAGGTAGACCTGAGGGGAGACAGAGGGTGGGCAAGATGTTTCCACAGCAACATGTTCTGCCACCAGGATGGCATTACCAGCTGTAATCACTGAATGAGCAGCACTCCTAGCTAGTTAACATAAGCTCCCTCCCAAACTGGATGGTGCACAGTGCAGAGTGGCCAAGACACCAGTGGAGTCCGGAGTTTTGGGCAGTGAGCTTGTTTCCACACGCAAACATGGCTAGCTGACTGTCTGTCAGTAAAGCCAACAGAAAATTTAAATTAAAGGCAAGATATTTACATCATAAATCATTAAAATTTGCACCTCCTCTAAATGGAGAACACTTTGAATAGCAGCACTAAAACTCACTGAGTCAAAAGAGTGCCGGACTAGGAAAGGCCTCTTGTATTTCACATCTTTTTTTTCTCATAAAAATTAACCAGTTAGTTACCCATTAAAGCTATAGTGCGTAACTTCTGTCGCCTCCCAGCGGATAATACGTTATTACAACTAATAAGCCGGCAGCACTTCCATGTACACAGAGTAACACTCGCCAGTCACCACACGCCGTACACAGAGTAACACTTGCCTTTGTGGTAGGATCCACTTCTGAACCGTGTCTCAGCCACTTCTCCGCCATGTTGCTTTCTCTTTCTACCTGCGCTCTAACTCTTGCTATGACACTCTC